CTGCACAAAACAGCGAGGCAGTTTGGGCTTCTCACCACTTCTGAACCCTGAATGCCCAAATCCTGCCCTCTGCTACTCCCTGTGCACCCATTTGCAGCTGGACTTGCACAGCAGTCACCGGAGCCCTCGCTGTGCCTTCGCGCGTGGCTGCTGGGGGCAGAGGGCTGAAGCTCAGGGCTTCCCTCCAGCCCCCACCTCACTCCTACCGCCCCCAAATGCTCACACTCCATGTCTCCGAGCAGCCAGGGAGGCCAAGGGGGGGTGTTAGAAAAACCAGCTCTGCCTGCGGTGTGCTGCTCTGCTGCTGGAAGGTCTCCAAAGACATCTCAGGTGCTGGCGAGACCTTCCAGCACATCCATTTCAGGGCTGCAGTTTCCCTTCCTTCCTGCATTATTTACCATAAAATACCGAGCTGCTTAAAGGCCGGCTACGAGCTATTTTCCGAGCCAGCCTTCCCTCTTGGTGCTCTGTTTCATGTAATAATCTCTATTTTGGGAGTGGTGTTTTGCAGCAGCCGGCTCTTTTGTTTGTTTTCTCCAGCTGTTCTGTTGCAGGCGCAGGAGGTTGGGTTGTTAATGGGCGAGTTGCTGACGAGGAGGAGCTGAGGGATGCTGCGTCCTCCCTGCTCCCCTGCCCTCTCTGGGGCACGGACACAGCAGCTCAGAATGACAAGTGCAAGGCTGGCCACGTTAATTTGTCACTGCAGGGCTGCTCCTGGTTATCGGAACTGCAGGCATGGGTTTGTTTTCTGAGTTGCTTGGGAATGGCAGCCCGTATTGATTTCTCAGAGCAAGGACCCCGATAAAGGTTTGGGTTCCCAAATTATTTGCGTACTATGCAGAGCATCTCGGCAGTCTGACTAATAAAGGAAAAAGGGCACGGACTCTGGAAGCAGCTGAGTTAGAGAATGGAACAAAAAATAAAAATAAAGCACGGGGTGTATTTTGAGCTGACCAAATCCGAAAATGCTATTTTTAGAAACACCCAGAAACCCTGAATCTTCATACCCCAGCCCTTACCCTGGAACCAAAGAAACATTTTGCATCAAAGAGACTACACTTAATCTGCTGCCTGAAGTCGAGGTTTCCAACCACCCAACACTCGTGTTAGCTTCTTATTTCCAACGTAGCTGCCCGTAGCTCCTACCCTGAGAGCATCTGACAGGGAAGAGGCTGCACTTCCATACCACGCGTTCAAAGCCGGCTGCTCGCTGGCTGCAGCGGTTTTTGGCAAGGCTCGGCGCAGCTCCCAGCTTTGAAGGATAATTGCCTGACTGCAGCAGTGGCTCCGGTCTCCAAAGGCCAAAAGGAGAAAGAGAAAGGAGGGCGGTGGGAGGACAGCCGAGGATAGCACATCTCAGATGTGGGATGCAATTATTTCTTTTTTTTTTGAGGCCTATTTCTGGTTACTACCGGAGAACTGGATGGCTAAAACAAGAAAACAAATCTGAAATGAAAGAAGACTTTAGAAAGCACACCCACCCAGGCACCATGGCAGGCAAGAGCTGGGGGACCCGTGTAATCAAAGCTGTAATGATTCCACAATTTCGCATTGAAATATAATTAGTCAGGCTAAGTTCTTTGACAGCTAGAGATTTGCAAAATTAGGGTCAAGCGAGTTCATTTTTTTTAATTGCTCTCATATCCCCCCTCCGAGTTGCTTCTTGTTGCTTTACAGCCTCCTCCCTGGGCAAAACTCACCCCTGGGGTAGCCCCTTCTGAAAACAAACAAAAAAACCCACAAACAAACAATAACACACAGATTGGATCCCTTGTATGTCAGAAGCTAGGAGACATGGCAGGAAAAAGGTCTCTGCCTGCAAGACCAGCCCATGATGTGCAGCCAAAGGCCTCTGAGCTCAGCTTGCCAGCCCTGAGAACCCAGCTGCCTGGTAAATCAAACCGAGGGTGCTCCCTGCTTCTTCCACTGCTGTGTCCGCTGCAAAACCAGCCCCGTTCCACCGAGATTTCTGGCTGCGCTTCCAGGTGCCAGCAGAAAGTGCAGGGGCGATGCAACGTGCAGCCGGATCTCCTTAACCAGGGCGATTCCACCCCACTGAAGAAGCCAGGAGGAAAAACCCTAAGTGGTCAGAGATCCCATAGAGCAGGCTGCGACTGGGGCAGCTCCGTAAACCACCCAGGAAGGCGCTTGCAGCTTTTCATGAGAAGAGCAGAGGAGAACAAAGCAGACAGCCCCTGGTGCACCCTGCGCTGCAAATACAACGGGAAATGAGGGTCGGCATAAATGCTGTGCACAAGTATGAATTTTCTGTGCCTTCACCACGATACAAGCCCCGCATTAACTTCATAAACAGGAGACAAGCAAAAGCAGCAAGCGATAGAAACGTCACATAAACACATCTAAATGCAGCAAACATTTCTGTTGGTATCGCATTGACAGATTTTATGAGTTTGGGGAGTTTTTTGGTTAAGGAGAAACAGAAGGCAGGAGGTGTGATTTTCCCCCATAGATGCTTTCTGTCTGTTTTTGCACTCAAAATCCTCGTACTGATTGATTGGGACGTCTAAGGCCACAGTAACGCCTCAGGTAGGTTGTGATGAAGTGCACCTGTGTGATGGAGGCAGCAGAGATTGTATTTGGGCAGCACACAGTACTTTGGTATAAATTATATGGATATTTACATAATCTATAAATATGCTAATCTCATACATGAATCTTGTGTCCTCCAAACCAGCAGAGTCCCTTCGGAGCACAGAAGAGCACAGCCATGTACGGGGAGAGGCTACAGCGAGCCAGACAACATGGCAAAGGGAAATTTGTGGCAAGGTCACCGGGACAAGTTTTACTCTTCAGAAACGATGTAAATCTGCAATGTCAACGCTGATCAGCATTGGGTATCACCCTTCATAAACCACCCTTTATTTGAAGAGCTACATGAAAGGAGGATCAGTGGCAATGAACTCACAGAAATGTCAACGCCGCTGTTAGACGCCTTGAGTTTAAAGCTCCCCCACCAAGTACAGGGACCTCCCGTGAGGGATGGCTCTTAGGGGGACTGAGGAAAAGGCGTTAAGCTACGTCCAAACCATGCAAACTGCCCCTTCTCCAACCTGAGACCTCTCAGCATCCCCTGGGAGTGCCAGCACCACACGTCCCCTGGTGCCTGGGACAGCAAATCCAACAGTTCCAGGACACGGCCACACTTGTGTGCACACAAAACCCACTGCAGCTGGGTGAAGCTTTGCCCTTCCACCACCAAGAGGACACTTCTTCAAGTCATTGCATTAAACAGAGCAGCACTCCCAAGCCAGAAGGACTGGGGATGCCCCAAACGTGTTGCTGTTAATCAAAGCTTCGAAACCTCGTGGTGCAGCCACTTTTATCCAGAGTCATCCCACCCTGTACTGCACACTGCAGCCACTCCACGTGCTTTGGGCATCCAGTACAGCTTTTGAAGACTGAAACACCGCATAATGGTATGGGTTTGTATCAGGATCTCAGTATGGGTGTTTCCTCAATCCAAACCAACAGGACCAGCTTTTAGATGTTGAGACCCATCTGCCACCCTAGGAACCCACAGCCACCACTGTCGGGACAATTTCTAGGCTGGGAGGGAGCTCAGGGTCTGCTCCATTAACAAAGTGAGAAGACATCCACTGACATCTCATTTTAGAGGGCGAAAAAACAAACTCCATTCAAGGACAATCTAGGACGCCAGGGAAAAAGCTGAAAAGTCATTATATAGCCTGGCAGCAAAGGAAACAGAGTTAAAAATAAATAAAATAAATAAAAAAGCCATGTTAAAGCATATGCAGCCACGGTGCAGACACCTGAAGTTTGCCCATATGGCTGCTCCGCCGGGAGGAGCCTGCCTGCTGCGGGCGTGCAAATCCAAGCGCTTGCATCTCATTACTGAGGCTGGGAGACATCCGTCAGGGCTGGGACAGGGGGCTGAGATCCCCCTGCGCTGTAACAGGGTGACAGTTCGGCAGCCTCAGCAGTCGGGCTGGCCTTTATCCTCCACAGATGTTGCCGTGCTAAGGACAGGAAGGTTTATTTTGCAGGATGGCGGTGCCTTGGCCTATGGCACCCAGCCAAACATCCCAAGGTCAGCTCTTCATATACTGTATGTTTTTTTTGGCATTCTTCCCAAGCAGCTATAGCATTCTTGGGTGCAGCACTCGTAAGGTGGGGAGCATCCCTGTGAGGGGAAACCCCCAGGTCAGTGGTACCCAGGCTCTGTAGTGCCCGAGGCTCTCTGGAGCTGCTTGTGCCCAGATGCCTGCTGTGCTTCAGGTGCTTTAGGTGCAATAAAAGAGATAATGCCGTGTTAATACCCTCACTGCTCCTCTTCTTGTCCTACCACCATTCATCTCCAGTGGTCCCAGTTCAGGTGTCAGTAGGCTGGGGTGTGTGCACCTGAGGAAACCTTGGAAATGAATATTTGCAAATCACTAAAGAAATTCTTCTCTCCATATGCACGACAAAGCCATAACAAAGTTTCCTTAATCAGGGCCAAATCTTGCCTGACCTTGTAGCTGTGTCAATAAGGAGTAGTTGCCGCTGAAGCTGAGTTGCTAACAGTATTGATCTCAGGACAACTGTCAGCTCACTACTTGAAAACTTTCTACATATTTCAAATTATCAGCTCTCATAATTTCCAGTGGTCCAAATGAAATCAGAATCCCAGCTTGATTTTAGTACAGAGAACGGAGGAAGATCAAAAAGATCTGCTCGCTCATGCCGAACACTGCATTAAGCAGCGGTCCCCGGAGCTGTTACTTCCCATTTTGCACTAACCCTCAATAACATCAGCTCCTGGTCTCAGTGCATGCTCTCAGACTCCAGTTTCTCTCTCAGTGTGCTGATGACCTGATAGACTGACCACTAGGACATACCGAGGAATCCCAACCTTGTCAGACATGCTGGATTCATTGGGTTTTAGCAACAAAAACTATAAATACTGCAGCGAGTTGTAAAGCAAACAGCACCTTATTGCTCCAGAGAGAAGCATTAAGGAAAATAGTTTAAAATGTAATGCAATGTACCTTTGAACCAGAATATCCTCACTTCCAAATCCCCCCACTGTCAGGCTTTACTGGGGTTGATAGCTGTGGGTGCCAAGACAGATCGAGCATTGTCCTGAATCCCACCTTACAGCCACGCTGCTCTGCACCACAGAGCAAGCAGAGGAGCAAAATAAGAGGCAACCAGGCTGCAGAGCTGCAGCACGAGGAACAGATTTGTGCTTGGGATCTCTCCCCGTAGGAAAGAGTGATCATAAAAGGCAGAGGCAAGGAAGAAGGGAAAGGCTGGAAGAGCTGGAGAGGAACAGGAAGGGAAGGTTTCACGTGCTGGCTCGGGCTGTAGGAGCCAAAAGCATTCAAGGCAGAGGCTCGGGGCAGGGGGAGGGCACTCAAGGACACTGCAGCAGAACTTGCAGGCGCTCGGAGCTCGCGCTGAACTTTGTGTTCCCGGCTGCCTGTTTTGGAGCGTGCTCAGGGGATGCCTCCCCTTGGGAGCTCGCCTGCTGGAAGGAGGACACGCCGCCGCAGCTCCGTGGGGCTGGTGGCGTGGTGACGGCGGCGCATAGGCATGCTGTGATGCAGCAGCTTTATAGGGCGCTAGAAAATCATGCCAGGGTAAAGGGATGGCACCCACAGGTTTTACAGCTCCGGGGACCCTTCGTGGCCCACAACGGTAGCCACTCGGCACGTGTGGAATTCAGCTGGTTCCTTTCGGGGAGGGTTGGAGCAGCTTCCTCAGGTCGGTTCCATGTGTTGCTCAATCCTCCCCCCCTTCTTCAAGCCCCCTTCAGCTGGGATTTGAATCTGCTCCGCACACAACAAAGCTCAGCCAGAAAGGAAGCCTCGCATGGTTTGCCCAAAACTGTTAAGGGAGCCCAGAGGTCATTACAAAACTTAGTAAATATTAACAGACCGTCTTCTTAAGACAGCTTGTAAGGCCTGGAAAGTTTCGTATTCTCCAAGACACGAGACGAAGGGCCGTGTTTGGTAAGCCAACCCTGGGATGCAGCCGGGGCTCCTGGTAAGCTGGAGCTGCATCGTGCACCCATCAGCACAGCCTGCAGGGAGCTGCCCAGGTTACCCTGTACTCCTGCAGACCTCCCGGAGCCACTGAATCGGGGCAGCAATTTGGGACAGCCTCAGAAATTCACGCTGGAGGTCTGTAAGATCCAGCCGTGCACCACGATCCAGCCAAACGCCGTGTGAAGGTAAATCCAGCCTCAGCACTTCGCTGCAACTCCTTTCCTCTGTGCCAAGGGCCAGCCCTCCCCGCAGGAGTCCCTTGCTGTAGCACTCGCTGTTCTCCCGTCCCAGGAAGGAGCCAAAAGCTGACAGGTCGTTGCTTGGGAAAGGGCACGGGGCACCTGCTGCAGCACACAGGAGCCAGCAGCGAGGATGGCGAGGAGCAGGGTGACACTTCTGCACTGCTCACCACTCTGTTCAAGGCAAACTGGCGGCACCTTCACCCACGTGGAGGACAGACATGGATATTAGGTCTCAAAGCACGATGGCTGTTTGCAGTGTAAATGGCAGAGTGTGTGTGTATCCTCCATCCCACAGGATACAAGTGCTAGTTTGCCTCGAGTAAGGAGGCAAGCATATTTTGGTGCAATCCCACACCAAATCTTGTTCTTTTCATCTCACAAAACTGTGCTAAAATGACCAATCTGCTTTTAATAAATGCCATTGAGAAGCTGCAGCTTGAGGAGGATTTTGAGAGCACCGCACTGAGATAAGCAACCTGTACTGAACCCTAACCAGAGCACCTCATGGGCACACTCATGGCAATAATTATATAAGAAGTAGTTTAATTGAGATGAAGTTCCTGTATCGTTTGTGCTCCACTGACAAAATACAAGGCAAGGAAACAGAGGAGCTTCATAATTGTCTCCCGTACACACACGGCTGCTGCTGCTCACTTCTTAAATAACACAACCCAAGCCTCCCGTCTGTGTTCCCTGTTCCCAATCCCTCCGTTAACTCCTCTACACAAGGAATGTGGGGTTGGACACCAGCGCGTGGGGACAAGCCAGCACTCCTTCCCCTGCTCCCTGCTCGCTGGAACCCCTTGGAAGGCTCCTACTGAAATCTGCTCCTGCCATGAGACCAATACTGCGGCTCAGGAAGGCGAAGCTGCACAGACTGCTTTGTTTTTGTAGGGTTGCTAGGAAGCACTGGTTCACATTACCGATTTTTTTTAAGGTCTCTAAACTACACATCAAAACAAGTTATTCCGCATGTACCAGAAGCAATGAAGCCTGGCTTCCACCAGCTTTGGGTCCTGTGTCCATAAACATATTTCTTTTTTTTTTTTTCCCCAGAGCAATGTCCCCTCCATCTCCCGAAAGCCAGGATCTCTGCTTGGCAGCACAAGAGGGAGCAGAGGCTGTAGCTGGGGCACAACTAGGAACTGGTTTATTGGCTGGCCGGGAGCTACAAACAGTGGCTGATTGCTAAATTCTGCCTGTCTTGCTCTCGCTGGGGGACTAATTTTGGACTTTCTCTGCTATCTAGTCATCGGTTTTCATAAAATTTGTAGAAACTTTGTGATTTGATGAGCCTAGCTGAAATCTGGCCGAGATTTTTTGGAGGGTAGAATAGAGCAGTGGACAGGCAGACAGGCAGGCTGCACAGGCTGGAAATCGGGCTGGAAGTGCACTCAGCAAGGAACTACCTCAAGTTTGTAATAATAATAATAATAATAATAAAAGGAAAAAAAAAAAAAAAAAAGCACTTCTCATTAAGTCCCAGATACTCGGTCAACCTTTGTAGCTGTGCCTGATAATGGTTCTTCTGACACATTTAACGAACACACCTAGGACCTGGCAAGCATGACTGGCAGAGCGCTGCTGCCATGAATATTCACATCAGGGTGTTGCAATTTAAATGACACAGATGCCACTAAAATGCCAAGGTCCAGAGTGTGAAAGCAAACAGAGCAGCTCTGGGAAACCCAAGCCATGCAGCCGGCCGCTCGCTAGTGGCAGCGTTGCACCTCCTCCACACGGCAGCAGAGCGAGTGCCTTCCCTTTCTCGAGTTTTCCCTTTAAAAGGACCTTTTGGGGAGATTTTCTCCTGGTTGCTAACGGGCGTTCAGCAGCGCTAGCAACACAGGGAGCGTGGGTGTGGAGCACCTGGAGAGGCGCCGGGAGGTACGCGAGCGCTCGCAGCACGTGCGTGCCGAGTGTCTGTGGGCAAGGGGCGGCACACGTGGATGCACAGCCATGGGCACGGGCATCGAGCCCAGGGCACCTGATCTTCTTCCTGAGTCACTTTGGCTTAAGAGCATGGGGCTGAAGGTGAAACCAGGCGTCCTGAAGGAAGAAGGTCTGTATCAACACACGTCATGGCCACAGGATGGCTGAGGCTGGAGGGTACCCCTGGAGGCCACCCAGTGCAGCTGCCCAGGACCATATCCAGCTTGCTCTTGAACGTCTCCAAGGATGGAGACTCCAAAACCTCTCTGGATAGCCTGTGCCAGTGCTCCATCACTGCTCACAGCAAAAAAAAAAGTGTTTTTTTTTTATGTTCAGACCTCCCCCATTTTGTTTGTGCCCATCGCCTCCTGTCCTGTCACTGGGCACCATCGAGAAGAGCCGGGCTCCATCCTCCCTGCAGCCTCACTTCAGGAATTTGTACACATGGATGAGATTCCCCTGAGCCTTCTCTCCAGGCTGAACAGTCCCAGCTCTCAGCCTCTCCTCACCTGAGAGATGCTCCAGTCCCTTAAACATGTCAGTGGCCCTTCACTGGTCTCTGCAGCACCTCCACCTCTCTCTCTTGCCCTGGGGAGCCCAGAAGTGGATGCAGCACTGCAGATGTGCCCGCAGGCATAAATCCAGACTATCTAAGGCACTGTTGAGGGTATTTGGTTGTGTGGATACCTCCTTGCTAAACACGGAGACCTCCTTCTCATCACCTTCCTGCTCTGACGTGACTCTAGGATGAACAATGTCTAAGAATGAGGCATTTGGAGATGGGAAAAAGGGTACGAGGACATGTAACAGCAGGACCATGCAGTGCCCTACAGAGCATGACCATGCACCATCCCCAGGCTCTCAAGACAGGGCTGAAGCAAGCAAGGACACAGCAGCAGCTATAGATCAATACCTCAAAGATGTCCTTAAACATTATTTATCACCAACAGCTAGACGGGTTTCATCTCGTGTGAACTGCTCACTCCCCAAAGTCCCACCACATTCAGCAAGACTCTACTTATATTGAAAAAGTTTTTTTATGAGACTTTTCTCTCAAATAATTGATAAGTTCTTGCTGCCTCCCCTCTTTGATCGGCCTCAGCCCCGGTTGTGCCCAAGGTCTGGTCTTGTTCCAGCCCATCTCATTATCTGAAGCACCAGAAGCAGGTGGTGTTTACAGGACTCGTAGAAGAAACTGGATTTCTGTGCAAAGAATACAAATCTGAAGGCCATGGTGGGAAGCAAAATTCATCCAGAACAAACACTGCTCAGCCCTGTTTGTTTATGGATCTCTTTGTTTTCTTAGTCCTACTCCACAGCTTTTTCCTTCTTCTTCCCCATCCCTTCTTCCTGATCTTTTCCTCCCCAAAGTACAGTGTCAGCATCCATCAACGCCAGAGAGGAGACTCCCACAGACTTCAGTGGTTTCTGAAGCCTTTCAGACCCTCTGACCTCTCTCCCCTAGAGAGAGGGGACACAAATCATCTGTTCGGTGTGTCCAAGCACGGGGAGAGCAGTAAATGGGTGAACAAAATGAAGGCCAGGAGACAGATGTTATCTAGGCCCTTCTCTCTGATCCATTTCAGACTTTTTTTTCCCAGGGCTATAAAGGTGAGGACTGTGCTATACCAGGGTGGATTTGGGGAGGTTTCAGGAGACCACAGAAGAGATGTGTCAGAAGGCTGAGCCTGCTCTTTTTAATCCATTTGATGGAGAGGAGGGACTACTCTGGCTGCAATTTCTGCTGTAACATCAACTTCAAAAAACAGGACACATCCAGGTGTGTGTGTTTTGGTCCCACATCCCCACAACAGCGCTCGCCTCGCTTGCTGTGAGCCTGCTGGGCCAGCACAGGGCCCTTGGTCCTCAGCAACCCCTTTAGAGGAAGGTCCCAGCTTCAGCAGCTCCCCCAGCTCCTAAATGCTCCCTGGAGGAGACCAGCACACCCCCAGCCTCACCAAGCATGGCAAAGACACACACCCTGAACCCAGTTGTGCTCTGTAGTTGCTGCTAGGGATTGCCAACCTTTCAGCTCCGCCGCGCTCAGCCCGAATGAGGCTCCACGCTAGGCACTGGGGGAAGCTGCAGTGGAACAAAATGGACTACAAGGCTGTTGGACTTATTTTTCTCCCCTTACATTAACTGATTAGCTTTCTTCCTCATTAAAGTCCCTTCAAGCATATCAATTACCCGGCTCTGATGGCAGGGCTGGTACAATAGCCCTCAGTGCAACCAGATGAGTTGGAATTCGGCACAGCCGACCAACAGGGCGGGGATTGGGTTACCCGAGTGTCAGCTAAAGGGCACTTTTCTCCTGACCTCCCTTTTCCAACTGGGGCTGAATGGTGGTTAGGAGAGGGGAGAGGAAATGCCAGGGAAATAGCACGAGCATCTTCCTGGGAGCTGCAAGGGGAAACCAACGCTGTGACAAAAGGCGAGAGGAATATGGAAATGTCAATCTAAAATTAGGGCAGCACAAAACTTGGCCTCCCTCTTCTTTTGTTCCTGTCTAATGGGAGTGGCATTGCAATTTCTGCATTGGTTAAAAGAGACAGTCCTCTCACTTCCCTCTAGGACAGAGGAGAGGATGATGGAGATGGGGATCCAGCCCCACAGACCCTCTCCTCTGTTTCGGAAGCGGGCGTTCAGCTTGCCCTCGTGGCCCAGCACTCAGCCCAGCAGCTCTCTGTATTTGAACAGGGGCCAGCCCCATTTTTTCCAAGCTGCTTTGCCCATCATTTGTTACAGCGATATCATACCGGGGATTGCTGCTATTGCCTCTACTAACCCGGCTGTCTGCATTGTCTCGTACCTGAGCTGCACAGTGCCCATCTGCCAGGGCTGTTACAGCGACACTCACCTCCGATGCAAATTATTCCTTGAGCACTAACAAAAAAAAGGTAACGGCACTGACATTGAATCTGTTAATCTTAAACCACTGCATTCAGTCGGTTACGTGGATGAAGATGCATTGCTCGGTGCAGCTGAATACTTAAAAGCACTGAGACAATAAGGATGCATTAAACTTTTATCTCCAGTGCTACAGCTACAATAAGCAATCAAAGAAATTGCCGCTCTCCCAGGGCTCTGCATTGCCTAAAGGAAACTAACTTTCGTCTCTGTGTGTGTGTATATGGAGAAGGATGGATAAAAGGATCTCAAATACCAGCTGTGGTGCGTTTGGCTACTCCGTGTTAGACAAATGATGGGCACTGAGCACTGCACAAAGCTCAGAAGAAGGCAAATTTTAATGCAGTTATACATAGGGAGGAAGATATGAGATCTTTTTCTCTCCAAGGGTTTCGTGATCTTGCCCAGCTTTTTTCTCCTTCCAGATATAAAATGTGTAGAAGACAATTACCAACTTGATTTTCCTTTCGTGGCCATGTTATGAAAATAAACCTTAATAAAACTAAACCTTTACAAAAGATTTTCTTTCCCTTGGTACACCATTTGGGCCATACATCACTGCAGGACAGGTGTAACTCACCTTTCCGTGAGTGGCAGCTACAGCTGAACTATCAAACCATGTTGTCATTTCTAAAACTAAAACAAGATTAGAAGTTCTCAGAAACCTCATACATTTTCCTTCTCAATTTATTCTCTGGCCATTAATGATGTAGAAATTTCATTTCTCACTGAAATACCCACAAACTGGCCATTTTCCTCATGAAACATATATGGTTTATGAAATTCCTTATGCTCTTGAGAAAATAAACCACTTTATTCTGGAATGTTCACTTTTATAATGTCAGAAAGCTTTATTTTCCTTTTTTTTGACTCAGAACCAGGGTGGTTTCTGCAAAGGAGGTGCTTGGCATGTCCCAGCCTTTTAATGTGAAGGGAAACAGTGTTGAGAAAAAATAAAATAAAATAAAAAAGCTGATAGAGATAATTCCAAAACAAACCTTTGCTTTTCAAATGTTGACTTCTTGTTGATTTTCCCACATTCCCTCAATAGGCAAAATTATGTGGTAAGAAATCAAAGTATTTAAATAACTTTCTGTTTTCGTACCACTTTGTTTCTTGGGCTCACGTTCCCCAGTGTATGTTTTCTCCATCCCGCAGATAAAACTGTGTGAGTTTCGGTGAGGTGCTTGCTACAAAGCCTACAGCACCGTTTTCTCGATTTGATTAATATAGCTCTATGAAAAAAAACACCTCCCCATCACACCATGTGCACAATTGTCTCACTTACAATAGCGCCTTTCATCAAAGAGTCTGAAAGAGCTTTACTGAGTAGTGTTATGTGTACTTTACAGTGAATTAAAAATAACCTCCTTAAGTAACCTTCCTTTAGAGGCCCTTGATGTGAAACAACGTTGTTTTTTAAAAAATAGCCAGCGTGAAGCTGTTTTATTAATTTTTATTTATTTTTTTTTTTATTTCAGGCTTCAAAAGCATGGAGTTACTGCAAGCACTGACACGGAGCTTGGGGGCTTTGGCAAACATTAAAATTAGCCCCGAGGCATGCCACCTGGGCAGCCAGCTACTGGTGGGCCTCAAAAGCAAACGTGCTGGAAAGCGTGTCACCTGGCCGTGCTCTCCAGACACCGTGTTCAGGGCATCGTAACCCACCAGCCTGCACGTCAGCAGGGTTCCTCATACAAGGAATGAGTGCTTGGGAGGCCAGAATGCCCCATGGAGCAGAAGGATTTTAGCTCAGAGCGTTAAACATCCCTAATCCTGCTGGTATCTGCCTCACTTTGGGATTTCTGTAGCAACCTGGGCTTTTCTGCACACCCTTTTTTTTTTTTTTTCTTGCATTCTTTCATTGTTTCTCAGTTCTAGGAGGATCTCAAACTAATGTCCTCTCACCCCATCCCCAAATGTCGAGGGGATGTTTGAAAATCAGAGGCAGAAAGACATTTCCCTCTGCAAATGAACCAGGCGTGTGAAAAAGGAGTGCCCCTCCTTCTCAGAACGCGGAGGGCTGAGGAGGACAGGACACACAAGCCTACAGTGAAAGCCTCAGGAAGGAGATTTCAGGAATAAATGTGGTTTTGTTCCTTGAAAATAAGCAGCATCTTCCCGAGACCCATCATTTTGATTCACTGTTTCACGTGTAAATAATTTACTAGGCTAAAAGGTCAAGAGCTGCAGGTCCTTGGAGAAGGGAAGAAAACTGCAAGCTGTAAATAAGGGACAAGGAGCTTACTTGGAGCATAAAACATGTGTTAGTAGTCCATGCAAAGAAATACACGTGCACATATCCACCCAGAAATAGGCTAAAGCAAAGCGTAGAGGTAGCGATAACCTCTCTCCATGTTTGCTCCCCCTTGAACTTGACTTGAGAGCAAAAAGTACAGCAAACACGATCATTTGGGATAGAAATTACACTTTTAAATTAGATTCTCAGTGCCCAGATGTACCGCTGATGGATGCATGAAACAGAGGGGCAAAAGAAATTAATTTTCAGCCTACTTGTTTGCATCCTTTCATCCTCTAACGTCAGGGTAATTGCTGCTCGACTCCTGGATGTGACAGCCCAGTCTTTACCTCCCTCCAGAAGGTAAGGGAACAGCTGGCTCCCTTTCTGACACCAGCGTATTTCCAATCAGCTGTCAGGCAGCATTAGGTCCCTAAATGCTACAGCATGTCACGCTTTCCTCCCACTGAGCAGCTCTAAATATGGGGTTTCATTCCCCAGGCTGAGGTAGGGTAGGGCAAGGAGAAGGAAAGGGTCAAACCCTGTTTGGGTTCAAAGCTAGAGAGGGTTGCAGGGAAGAGTTTCTGGAAAGGTGATGCAGTAAAAATAAGTAATGGACAACTGGCTATCCTGGCACGTTATCCTGACACAGATATTAAAAGGGAAAGATCGGAAATAGGCAGCAATTCATGCCATGCACGCCGCTTCTCACGGTGTTTTTTATAGCAGTACTGCCCTCACTAGTAAAATTGGTGGTATGGGAAGTGAGACGCTGCTCAGGCGAGCCTATGGGCTCCGGGAAAGGTGAATATTGAGCTTTGAGAAACGCGATTGTGGCCAGCAGCGTGCACAGAGAGCCGAGGTTTCTCAGAGTTATTCCCATCTCTGTCTCTGCATTCCAGAGCAATCACAAGCAAATTGTTTTTGCCACCAAAGAGCCTCTGTTTCCCTGCATAGCGGGGCAGTTACTGAATTCATCAACCTAATCACTATTTTTCTATAAACACTCACGAAAGATGTGAAAACCTCAACCGAAAGCCGATTACTCCGCTGTGTTCTGTTACACAGATGCACTCCAAGGTTGCAGTTGACAATCGAGTGTGGAAAATTACCCACTTCTGCATATATGGCAATAATATTTATATTATTTTTCCCACATGCTTTTAGTCTTTCATAATAATGGAAACAATGATTTAAGAATGAACAACAGTGACATTCCTGCTTGAGGACACAGCATGCACAACTCTGAAAAGTTCTGCGGCAGCTCAGCCTTACAAATGGGTTTGGCCTTAGGTACTAAAAGACACAGTGCTCTGGAGATCCTAAGGGTTTTGGTCACAGTGGGAAAAAAGGAGAAAAGAGGGAGAAAGGGGGCAAGGGATCAAGGAGAATGGGAGAAAAGGGAGCAAAAAACACCATTCTGGATGGAAATGGGCATATCATACACAAACTCTGTCTGCCTAAAGTCTCTACCTGTTGTTCTAACACCCCAATACCTCTGCAGGTACTTTACACATACATACACACACGCATATATGTATTTACATATTAAAATAAACCCATATAGGAATTGCAATGTCATCCATCACACCAGCAATATTTATAAGGCAATAGCACCCAATCTTGCAAGCAACACCTTAACATTGAACCTCAGGAGTAAATATATTATTCTTGGAATCACTGCCATGAGCCAAGCTGGCTATGAGCTCAGGCCATACCCACATTTGTGGGGCTGGGGGCTTAGTCTGAGTCGTGGCTGATGCAGAAAGTGTGTCACACACAGAGCATATGCTCTGTGGATAGCATGTTGCCCAACATGAATGGCAAATGTGCAGGGAACACACATTTTCTTCCGGGGCTTTGGCTGGCAAGCTGAGCGCATGGTGTGCATTCTTCAGGAGAGAATCATGGGCTGGTGAACATTCCTTTGACTTCTCAACTCTTTCAATAATTTGCCACCTGTGCAGCCAAGCTGTTCGTTCTGTAAATCCGCAGGATCTAAAAACTCTGGCGCTTCCTCCGGCTGCCAAAGCAAGCTCGCTGCAGCACTGACCCCAGCCCAGCCACCACGCGGCGAGCGCTGCGTTAACCACTTCAAGGCCTGAGGCAAAGAGCAAACAGCCCACCTGGAGCTTGGGACACCACAAGGACCACGCTGCCACACATGCATTTTCCCTACCTCAGGGCTTTCTGCACCACTGTCATGGTGCAGAGGAATGGGGCTGAGCACAGCTCCCTTCTCCCAGCTGAAAAGAGCCAGATCTGCACGATGCACAACTTGCACACCCTTCAAAACAGGCAAACCAGGCAGGCATTGCTTGCGTTCTTCTAACAGGGAAGAGTAAATTCCATCTCATTGACACTGCTGCCAGATTCACCTTTGTTCCTAGCCAGCTTGCGCTAAAACGTACTGTAAAGTTCTCGTGCGCAGCCAGATCAGGGCAATATCTAGGTTGCAAACACACCAGGGAAAACGCTCACCTGCTCAGAACAGCAAAGCAGATTTGGGTCTGTACTGCTGGAGGTCCCAGCGCAGGGAGGGAGGGAGGCAGCTTCCACAGCTCCTGCTCAGGAGCAGCTGCTTTTTGCATTGCACAAGGTGTGGCTCTCAGTACCAGCTCTGCCTCCAGCAGCACTTTGCAGAGACACACCGATACTGGCACAGACACGAGCCCCATTCACAGTCTCCTCTTCCTCCTGCAACCCCGTGTCCAACCCAGAAAGCCCTTCCTGCAGAGGAAACTGAAGGTGGTGGTGATGAAACCTTGCACTGATGCTGCTTTCCATGGCTGAAAATGCACATCCATCAGGTGCCCGTTTGTGAGCTAGGCTGGGATAACAAAATTTGATGAGCACCTTCAGCCCGAAATGATTTTTGATAGCATGGCAAGATTCCTATGGGGCTATTCCTACAGTTATTAGAAGGGAAATCTTTATCTATAAAGTGGTTGGATTTACAGGGGCAGAATTCCATGCAGAGCAGGGACTGCCTGCATAGCTGCTCGGGTCTGTCTGATCTCCCTTTGGGGTTAACACAGACTTTCTTTTGCTATCTCCTTACGCTACAGCACACAGGCATTGGAAAATCATGGTCCCAGTTCAATGCTCTAGTTTTTCAAGAGAACCAGAACGGATGCTAAAACTCTCCAAGTTTTCAGCTGAAGCAGAGAGAGTTCAGTAATTCTGTCACTAGCAGCCCAAATGTGCGTACCAAGCTTCACCCCCCAGCCCTGCAGCAGGGCTCTGCAGCTCCACCTTTCTCTGATCATTGGTATGGCCAAAGCTGGTAGAAGCTAGACTCAGTAACCGGCTTCTAGTTTTGTGGCTGGAGGTTGTCAGAAGGAAGAGAAAGCTTCCTACTGTGTCTCCTCCGTCCAGTCCGCATCGTTTAACACTGACACAGGAGCTGGAAAACCTCAGAGAGGAAAGTGAGCCTTCCCCTTTGCCAGCCACACTGATTGCCCCCACCCCAAATCCTCATGGGCAGGGGCTTGTGCTTCAAATCATGCGATAGGAAAAAGCTACACGCATCGTCTAAGGAAGAAATGTTGTCAATCATGCAAAGCCATCGGTGCAGTATAAAACAGGGCTTACAACGTTCACCACAAACATTCATGTCCATGACTTTTTGTAGGCAGCTGGAGCTGAGGGGAACTTTTTCCCCGTGATATCAGAAATTCCAAGAAACCAGGAGCTGGTTTGCTGCTCCTGTGACAGCAACAGGGGGTGGGTGGAGAGTGGGGGCTGTGAACGGAGGAAACCTGAAGGGAGGCGGTGGTGGCACCCACTGACAAAAAGAGCTGAGCTTCTGTGATAGAAAGCGTGACTCTGGACGGGTGGGACTTTACCAATTTAAACTATGATCAAGCATTTTTATCTCCCCGGTCACGCAAAGGGATGGGCTTCGGGAGGCTTGTAACATAGGAAAATAGACTAAATGTCATTGCTTTGATTTTCATCAAATAGCTTTCTAAACATTTTTTTTTTTTCTGGTTATTTCTCCTGAAATAAACTTTCTCCCTCAGGCTTACAGCTTTGCTGTGAACACCCTACACACATATTACGACCCAAGAACTGGGTCTTCAAAACCAGCAGAAAGCAGGTAAAATTTCACCATTCCCGAGTCTCCTACTGACCTGAACCATGCACACTGCCTGGATCTTTCCTTGAGGGCAGGAATACAGAAGAGGAAAAGTTCACAGACCTGACAAATTTTGCGCTAGGTTTGACGCACGGCCAGGTCCAGAATTCTCCCCCCCTGGGGGCTGGCCTGCTTTATCTCACACACTGGGATTTAACAGGCTATGATGATGAGCAAAAATACCCTACAGATGAGGTGAAATGCTGGGCTTTTCTTTGCTACAGATCCCCAAACACTGCTTAAGCGAGGTCACACAGCCAGCCAACCTGTAAAAAACACGACGAATCCTCAAAATATGACGAAACCTACCTACCAGGTTTCCCCTTTCTGCACACCCCAAGCCCCCCCTGTCCGTGCTGTGCTGAAGAAGGAAGCGCTGCCGGGCAAGTGCCACGGCTGGGACGGGTGACAGGTGACAGTGTCTTAGAGTCATTTGTTAATTGGGAGGGTCATCAGCTTGCGGGAGCCCCCAAGGCATGAACCCCGGGCTGGATGTCTCCCGGCGATGGGTGCGGGCATGGGGAGGCAGCCTCGGGCTGCTGCTGCTGCCTAGGCCCCGGCTGGGTGCGGAGGGGACAGGAGGGGACAGGAGGGGACAGAGGAGGGGACGGGACGGGGCAGGGGACGAGCTGGGGCTGAGCAAAGGACGGGACGGGGCAGAGGAGGGGACGGGGTGCCCTCTGCCGGGGCAGCCGCCTGCAGCCGCGCCCGAGAAGCAACGTGTGGGACT